TCCTGCTCTTTTTTTAACCTTAGGTCATCTTAGGTTAAAAAAAAATTCTCCCCCCAGTGGTAGAGTACATATTAACCAGCTCTGCATTAGTTCCTATGGGAACTAATGCTTCAATATACGAACACACCTCTACATAACAAAAAAACAGCCAGAACGGATTAATTGGTTTTCAGTCCATTACTATGGGAAATTTTGCTTCAACTTAAGAACGTTTCAGCTTAAGAACACCATTCCAAAACGGATTAAGTTCTTAAGTAGAGGTTTCACTGTAGTTTCTATGGACGGAAAAGAGCAGATACGGATTAAATGGTTTTCAGTGCATTCCTATGGGAAATGCAGATTCAACATAAGAACTTTTCAACTTGAGAACCACCTTCCAATACGGATTAAGTTCTTAAGTAGAGACCCCACTGTATTTTCCACCTTCCCTAACTCTGAGGTCTTCTTTTCCCTTCCAGGTCCCAGCGGAAGGGCTCCGTTTCTCTGGGGCCGAACAAGCTCTCTTGAATAATCAGAATTGGGTTGCCACTTGTTGGGGTAAGGATGGCCCATGCTCGAAATACTTTCACACCTCGTTATGTTTTCCCTCTGAAGTGATCTATGAAATAGGTTTCCTTGAAGTGGTTAAACTGTGATACTGCAGTGAAGGCTCAGCTCATCGCCTGAGTTTGGTCCCAATTTGCTCAGGTAGCTGACTTGACTCACCCTTCCATCCTTCTCAGGTCGGTAAATTGAGTACCTAGCTTGCGGGAAGGGGCAATGTGTAGTAATTAATAATTAAATTGTAAGCTACCCAGAGAGAGCTTTAAGTGCTATGGGGCACTATATGAGTAGCACATTTTGCTTTTGCCCTAAACTTTGGATTGTTACCTATCGTATCTCTGCCAGGTATGGAGAAAAGGTAGACGCCACCAGAAGTCACAGTGGGCCTTTTCTCAGTTAAAATCCTTTTTGAAGAATAATATTCGGGGGTGGATAGCCCTCAAGCCTATGGAGACTGCCTGTCCCATGTCTAGTGGGTACCGTACAGTGGTGCCTCGCAAGACAAATGCCTCACAGAACAAAAAACTCGCAAGACGAATGGGGTTGATGACTCGCAAGACGAATGTTCCTATGGCCGTGCTTCGCAAGACAAATGTTTTCCATTTTTTTTGTTCCTGCCTCATGTTTGCTGATTTTTAAATGTTTTTCTATGATGTTTAAAAGTTAAAGTTTTTTGATTGAAATTTTTAAAATCATCTGCACAATATCTATGGCTTTAAAGAGCACTTAATAAACCCTTTGTAAACCAAATTTGACTTTGTTCTGCCTTTTTTTGCCCATTGGAACGCATTAATTAGATCTCAATGCATCCCTATGGGAAAACGCGTTTCGCAAGATGAATTTTTTGCAAGATAACATTAACTGCGGAACGAATTAAATTAGTCTTACGAGGCACCACTGTACAGGATTTTGGCTTTAGGAACCAGAGTTCCAATCAGCCCTGCTCAGCTCTTGTAAACTCAGGCCTGTGGCTTCCTTTAGCGCATCTGTCCACTTTGTATTTTGGCATTCCTCTTTTTCTGCTGCCTCCCACTTTTCCCAGCATTCTTGTTTTTTCCAGAGAATCCTACCTTCTCAGGATGTGCCCAAAATAGAAGAGCCTCGGTTTCAACATACAGTGGTGCCTCGCTTGATGACGTTAATTTGTTCCAGAAAAATTGCTGTAGAGCGAAAACGTCATCAAACAAAATTAAAAAAAACAATTGAAACGCATTGAAAACCGTTCAATGTGTTCCAATGGGCTGAATACCTGCTCGTCCATACGGCGGCCATTTTTGGTGCCTGTAAAGCGAGGAATCCGTTCTAGAAAAAAGCGGGCACCATTTTCTTCAGCTGGCAGCCATTTTGAAACCCGGCGATCAGCTGTTTGCTGAACATCGTAAAGCGAAAATTGGTTTCCAAAGCAAAAAAACCCATTTAAAACATCGTTTTGCGGTTGCAAAAGCGATCGCAAAAACATCAACGTAAAGTGGATTCGTCATAGAGCAGGGTAATCGTTCAGCGGGGCACGACTGAGAATAAAGTTTAGGCTTGATTTGATCTAGGCCCCACTTGTTTGTTTTCCCAGGGTATCCATGCAAAGCTGTCCTCCAGCACCACATTTCAAACAAATCAATTTTTTGTAACCTGTCACTGTCTTTCACACTCGTGAAAGACAAAGAGTGTGGATGGCCTTGGTCTCCAGTGGCACATCCTTACATTGCCTTTCCTACTCTCGGTCTTCTTCTGCAGCAAAGGGGATCCAACGAGCCCTTAAAGCAATCCTTAATGGGCCACTGCTTTGTTCCCTTCTTTTCCTACCCCTTTCCACAGGCGAAGACCCGGTGGGCGGAAACGAAAGGCGCCAGCCAGGAAGCCCTTATGAAGATGGAGCAAATCACGTACAGTCAGCCTTCAGCCTTGCTGAACCTCGGGAAGAGCGGCCTTCCCTGGGATCGTTGGGCGAGTCAACATACCAGATGTTGCCCCATGAGGCTGCAGAGGAGATGGAGGTCATCTCTGGCCTCCGTCTGGAGCGGCCATTGGTGCTCGGACTCTCATCTGCCCTTCGAGACCCCACATTGGTTGAAGAGGCATGGGAACAGGGAGAAAAGAGGAGCCGGATGCCCGGGGAGGAGCCACCGCCTCCTTCTGGCATACGACCGTGGCATAACTCCGCTCCCCTGGAGTCCTCAAGGCTGAGATTTCCAGCACCTCATGCGGAGGCAGGGAGTCCCCCTGCCCCTTCCTACGCAGCCCTTGCCGAACCGCCCAATCTGGACATGCAAATGGGGGGAGGCACCCGGGGCCCCAAGAGATCCTCGGAAATCTGGCGGCACTTCCAGACCTACGAAGAGGACCGCCGTTTTGCCGTCTGCAAGCTGTGCAAGGCCCGGGTGAGCCGGGGGAGGGATCTGCGCCACCTCACCAATTCGGGCATGATTTGGCACTACAAGCACACCCACGCCGCCGGGGGGCTGGCGGAGCAGGTGAAGCCGAGCGTCCCCTCGGTGTCGCAAGGGGGCCGCCGGCTGCCACTTTTGTTGGACAGAAAGCCCATCAGAGGCATGCTCGCTACGAAGCGGCCCCCGCCGCCCGTTTGCCCCGTGGATCCCCCAGGGCAGACCCGGACCATCTTGGGGTTGTTCTACGGCTCCGTGCAGAGGGCTAGGGGTGGCCAGGCCGAGCAGAGGCAGCCCTCCCAGAGGTGACTGCCATCTGCTGAGACTACGGGAAGCGCTTTTGCCTGAACTCTGGATTCCGTGCACAAACGAGCCCTTCCTGCCGGAGCTGTGCCCTTTTGGCATGTCAACTGGGAGGGAGGAGGGGAAATTGGGATGCAACTAGAATTCCAGAGACCTCATATGGTCCCTGCAGAAAAAAAGGCAGACTAAGCTGGACTGTTGGTGATCTGTAGGTTCCTGAAAAGACGGACATGGAGCCACTTGACCTGTCCTGATATTAGAGAGGAAGAGGAAGGCTCCGGGGTGGCCCAAACGGACAGTGGAGAATTTTAAAAAAAATTCATAAAAGGAGGGTAGAAGTTCCTGGAAGTTGGAGGCTCCAGGAATGCAGGATGGCACATAATACTCCCTATGAACTGGATCGGCCTCTGCGGATTCACTTATCTGCAACCTGAAAATATTAAATAAAAAACCCACAAAAATAAATACAGTGGTGCCTCGCTTAACAATTTTAATTGGTTCCAAAAAAAAAAACATCGCTATGGGAAAACATCGCTAAGTGAAACGTTTTTTCCCATAGAGATGCATTGAAAACCAGATAATCCATTCCAATAGGAACAGATTACCGTCCTTAAGCGAAAATCGCCATAGGAAACATCGCTAAGCGAAACACTGTTCCCCCATTGGAATGCATTGAATAAGTTTCAATGCATTTCAATGGTTTTGACAGGTCCGTTTTCGCTATTTTTAAAGTGTCTTAAAATGTTCAAAAACTGTTTAAAATGTTTGGAATCGTTAGTGCACCCTGTAAAACCTTTGCAAACTTAATTTGGCTTTGTTCTGAGTCTTTGTTAACTTTTGGTGAATTTTTCCTCCCCATTGGAATACATTGAACTGTAGCTTTGACGAGGCAATCGCTAAGCAAGGCACCACTGTACATATTGATACCTATTTCCACGGTGTATTTACCAGAAACAGCCACTAGAGGGAGTCAGATAAAAAGCTGTGTACGGATAGGATTCATTACTTCCAGGTTTTTCAGCATCCACTGTTGACTTAGGAGACAAGGCTTGAAACTGCTGCCCCGCAGATACAGCAAACTCTTCCTATCATCCAGCTACTCTGAACCACAGAAAGCCAGATGCCTGCTAAGATTTCTAAAGGGGTGTGGCTGTGTTAGCCCACGGCAACAAAAAAGCAAATAAACAAAAATAGTCTTGTGGTCCTGTGGCATTCGCCCCTCGTGCCCCTTTCCTGACTCTCCAAACACAGAGCACCTGTATGCAAACTACTACTCCTTTTTTACTCACTGCCACCAGTTGATCACTGAATCAACATTATTTATGGAAGGATGAAGATGCAGGTCCAAATTTCACTCTTTTAAATAAAACTTGTTTATTGATTACAGATGTTTGATTATTAATCAAAGGTAACTTCTACAGGTTTATTTATAATCAGTCTCAACCTTCTATTTGTCATAACAGTTCTTATTCACTCTTCACTCTAATCACACCTCAGATCTCCCAAATACAGTGGTGCCTCGCTTGACGACATTAATTCGTTCCAGCGAAATCGCTGTAGAGCGAAAACGTAAAGCAAAATAAAAAAGTCCATTGAAATGCATTGAAAACCTTTCAATGCGTTCCAATGGGCTGAATAACTCACAGTCCAGCGAAGATCCTCCATAGGGGTGGCCATTTTTGGTGCCTGTAGAGCAAGGAATCCATCCAAAAACACAGCGGGGAGCCATTTTGAGCAGCCGGCTGCCATTTTGAAAACCCAACGATCAGCTGTTTTGATCGTTGTAATGCGAAGAATCGGTTCCCGAAGCAGGGAACCGATCATCGTCAAATGAAAAAAACCATTAAAACATTGTTTTGCG